GTTATGATAATGCTGCTGTCATGTCAGGTCATCTGTCAGGCATTCAATTAAGACTTTTGAACAAAAATCCAAAAGCAGTGTTTATAAACTGACAACCATAGTTTGAACTTCGCATGTCTTCATGCTGCAAGTCAGGAAACAACAGTTATTACCTTTTTTTGGTTATAATTGAAGCCATTTATAATTTCTTTGCTCATTCAACAACTTGATGGGATGAACTGCAGCAGGAGCTTAAGATCTCTGTCAAGCGTTAATCAGAAACACAGTGGAGTGCAAGAGAAAAGGCAGTAAAAGTTGTACATGAAAAACTGGATGAATTGCTAGGACTGTTAGAGCAATTAAGTGAGAATGGCAACACAGCTGAAACAAAATGTGATGCTCATAATATTCTGCAATGCACGCTTAAATTTGATTTTCTTGTACTTTTGCATTTTTGGAGAAATCTTTTATCATCTATCAATCGTGTGAAGAAACATCTTCAGGACCCAAAAATGAATTTTAGAGAAGCAGCTGCTGATCTTGATTCTTTGAAAGAGAAATTGATAGAATCACATGAAAAGTCCTGTCAAGAAGCACTTGCAGTGGGCAAGAATCAATGTGAAACATGGGGATTGACCATTGAAAGAAGAAAAATACGTCATAAACGAATGCCAGGTGAAAATGCAGCTGATGCTGGACTGACTGCTGAACAGGAAATTTATCACATCATGAAGGATGTTATTGATTGCTTGATTAGAGAAATAACAGGAAGATTTTCTTGCTTACTAGATTTAGATTCATGGTTTGGAGTTCTACTAGATGTGCAAAATATTGTTTCTGGAGATTTTGAAGATGGAAAATTGCAAGAAAAATGTTCTGACTTAGCAAAGCGTTGTGCAGGTGATATTGATGGACCAGAATTGTACAGAGAAATTAAAGACTGTAGAATGTTGATAATTGAAAGAACACAGACCAATTTAATTTTCCTGAACCAATGGTTGCAACTGATTTGCTAACATTTATAATTCCATATGGTGAAGATGTTTTCCCAAATTTAAGAATTGCATTGCAGATTTTGTTACAAATTGGGGTTTCTATTGCTAGCTGTGAAAGGTCCTTCAGCAAGCTGAAATTAATTCTTACATACTTGAGAACCTCAATGACACAAGAATGATTTAGTAACTTGGCAATATTAAGTGTTGAAAAAGATGTACTTAATACCTTAAATTTTGATAGTTTAATTGATGCATTTGCAGCAGCAAAAGCATGAAAGGTTCATATAATGTAACCATGAATACCAGAATGCTACCTGTAAAAGATCTGGTTTCAAAACTAGGGATGTAACAGAAATTTATTCTGCATGCTTGAAAGATTACTCTAGCTATGTGACTTTGAACAATACTGGATGACATAAATATCAAAATGGTTTACAAATTATGCAAGTACACCTAGTAGGCTATGCTTCTTTAGTTCCAGGTTTGCGGTTGTGATATCATGAGATGTTATATTGTGACTTTACTTTAGGCCTGTGTAAGACAGTAATTAATTCTTTATGTTATTGTCATTAAGTGGGTAATGAGTCACAAAACAAATAATTAAAACATTTCAGAGGTGAGTGTGCCAAAAGTGTATTTGCCCCTGGGTGCTGAGAACCCTTGCTACAGCACTGCCAAGAAAACCATTAAGTTACTTTCTTTCTTGCCATTCTTCTGAGGTAAGACTGAGTCTGCCCATGATAAGTGTGGCTGTAATGCTATAAATTGTGCAATAATTTAAACAGCGGTGTTCTCCAATGGTAAGTTAGGTGATATTTCAAGGTAAGAACCTTTTGTATATTTGAAAGAAAATAACCAGTGCTAGTTTCTCTGGGTAAACCTGAAATTACCTGTTTGGAAAAGAATGTTGGATTTAAAGAGTCTGGTATATGCTCCTGAGTATACAATCTCAAGGAAGGTAGTCAGGTAGCTGATCCAGTAAAAGCAACCATCTTTTGTCATCCAAACAAGTACACATACACCCTGTATATGTTATAATAAAGATTGTTCATTTATATTTTACATTGTGTTTAATTTCTTTATTTCATTCTCATAAACTCAGTTGTTTATAGAAATTGAGAATTATTCTGTAATAGATATCTTGTCAAATCTCCTGTTATTCAGCAGACCTATTTTATCACTCAGGTGAAAAGTCAGTTTTACCTGAATGTAATACACCATCTGTGGACTTGGTTGAATGTCATTTATTTACAATGTAGAGAGACAAAAATCACAATTTTCTTTGAAATTGTAAAACTATTCACTTTATTAGTTGATTTCTCCAATTGGAAGAATGTAACTAATTCCTTTTGATTTCTCAAATTCAGAAATATATTTCCAACATTTTCATTCTATCAATCAAACAGATCACTTGCAGGATAATCATTCCCTAACACTTAGTTTCTCCTGGTAGCCCAAGTAACTTAAATCAAGTTAGTGCATGAATCTGATCCCCACTTTACAGTACTAACATTCTTCTTCTAGAGAAGGAACAAAAACTGTGCACACTTAATGAAGAATATTTAGTAATATCTTTAAATTTCATAATAACGAGGTATTATCTTTTATTAAAACATTTTGTAATAAGCCCTAGCAACAGGACTTACTTGAAACTAGTCAGTAATGTTCACTTGCCATGTCCCTTCTAGAGTGAAATGAATGGAAACATACTGAGTTTGCTAAAGCAATGTTGTTCACTTCAAGAAGAAAGAGCTCACACTTACCATCTGTTCCAAGAGTAAGTGATGTTTTTTTCTCTTTAGATATGTATAACTTCTTCATTAAGAATTCACTGTGTCAAGCCTCCTAAATCTTGGATCACATCTTACTTTTTTTTTGTCAAAAGTCATACTCTTTGAGAATTTTCATTATACAGAGATCCTTGAAATTGTTTTAAAAGCTTTTATATATCATGTTCATCACTGTGGATTCATTTACTATTAATAAGCCTCTTGAAATTGTCAATATTATTTTAAGTTTTATATATGGTTGGATGTTTTCTTCTGAAATCATTTTATGAAACTAGCCTAGATATAAGTACATAACTATATGTTTACTATAACTTTAGCTTAGAAATACTGATCCTCTGCAATTTTGTTGTAAAATGTCAGTTGTTACTAAATTATGGCACATTTATGTGTGTTAATGTATTTTATCAGTAGTTATTTGTCAAAATCAACTTACTTTTTTAAAGATCACAATGTGCATGATACCCTGATATTTAGTAGTAATTATGAAATGCTGTAACCATTTTAGTTGTGGTATCTTGTTATATTTGGGTATTATTCTTATGTTGCCTGTACCTTCAAATGGTTTATACCAATTGAAATGGAGTGTTTTCATGATTAATATCTTACAGTATACAAGTATGTAATAAACAAGTGGCTTGAGAAGATTAAAATGGTATTATCTCAATCTTTATGCATCTGTTATTTGCTAAGTGAAATATTTTAATTTAATTGTTTTAAATTCTGTGTGTTGAAACTAAATTGTGAGGGTGAAGGCCTCATAATACAATGTAGATTATGGCATAAGATCTTCTGCTTTTTGGTCAAAATCATCTTACTTTCTCACCTTTTTAGGCCAGAATATGCTAGAAGTCCTTTCAGAGAATCTTATTCTTGTTCTTCCAACCCAAAGCTTAGCACTCTGCTACAAAGCTCAAGTGTAGAGCACTTTGAACTGTACCAGTAGATAACCTTTCAGCATGCTCTGTTATCCCATACCACAAAGTTCATTTTTACTATGATAATTGTACACAAGCAGTGGCATCATTAATTGTCATTCCATTGAAGTTCAAATATCAAGTGGTAATGAAACAGACAGGAGCTTTCTGGTTCATTGCTAAGTAAGAATTGGTGCGAGATCTTGTAGTTGTCTATTATAGATCAAATATGAATACTTACACCTTCCATCTATAAATCTCATTGTTATGACTCATTTTCCTGCTAGCATACCACTTGAAATTGTAAAAGAAAACTTACATTTGTTTTCATTTTCTCTTTTGGAATTATTTTGTGCATTTAAGTAGTTTAGAAGTAAAAAAGATAATTAAATATTGGCAGTAATTATAGCTCATAAATGCATTGCTTCTCTGTAATTCATTTGCAGTACTTTAATCTAAAATACAGGATAAAAAACATGAGATATCTAAGAAATATTCCCAATAAAGAATTTTACGAGATGATGAAATAGGGAAGAAAACTCGTATTTCCCTCCAACGTATTTTAGCATATCTGTGACATGCTTTATAATTTGTATGGGAATATCCTTGCCAGTTAATCATCTTATTATATTGTTCAGTAATATTTTGTTACTGTAAGTTAAAATTCTAGTGTATAAATATAAAAACTGTTAGTAGGAAAGGATGATAAGTACAAATTCATGGAGAGTTTTTAAGTTTAATCTACGTATTTCAAATTGTACTTTTGTAGGTTAAATGCAGAAAACAAAGTTTTTTTACTGTTTAAGTAGCAGAATTCAATATTTACATCTTTATTATAATGCATATATGAGTTTGTTTTAATTAAATAACTGATTTGTAATAGGATGATCAAGTTGACAACATAATTTATGCTCTTTTCACGTGGCAGTATTGAAACTTGAAAGAGTGGGTATACACAGTCAGATTTTTTTTTGCATGTTATTCAAGCTACTTTATGAGGAGGCTAGAATTGTGTAATGTATTGATGATACCATTACTATTTAAATTAGAGATGAGAGTGAAGCTTTGACTTTAACAGAAATTGATTAAATTATTTTTACAATTTCTTCAGTTGTTCTATGTACACAAATATGTACACTGAATTTTAATGATAATAGAACAGTCTTATGTTTTTCTTATCATTAAAATACTTCTTGTGACAGCTGCTGTCAATTAACTTTAAGCAAGTTGTTTACTTAGGAGTATTGCATGAACAAAGTTTCAAATAAATAGATGTACAAGTTGATTTCTTAAGGATTGTTATGAAGAAAAGTCTCACACCTGGCATCTGTTGTAAATTAGACCTTGATAGATAGATGGACTTGTATAAATATATATTGAAATTTTCCTTCAACCTATCAAACACTATGCAAAATATTAATAAAGGAACAAGCAACAGAATGCTGAATTAATCTACAAATTAAAAAATCCAGACATCACTGACTGAAGAGCAAAATAAGTGATGCAAAATTGCACCTATTGAAAAATAAGTAAAATAAGTCTTAAAACTTATAAGGTTAAATTACAAGAGATCAGGCTGGACATATTTCATCAACCTGAAAACTAAACATGATATTGCTATAATAAAGGCTATTTTCATTACAATATACTCTTGACATTTATTACTCTTCATTTCTAGAGCCCACAAGATCTATCTAAAGACTGCCCCACAGTATGACTTTGTTCGCTTTCGTCAGTTAGTTCACGAGATAACTCAAGAGTTCAAAAGAATCTCAGAAGGAATGATAAGTATTGAACAGCGTTTGAGAACAGAGTTCAAATCTTCTCATTTGGCTGATATTCTTTCTCAACTGCAAGAAGAAGAAAAGACAAAACTAGAACTAGTAAGAATTCATTTATGTAATGTGATTGAAATTCAGTGCAAGTTATAAATGTACACAATTATTCATCTCTCACTCATGGTGAAATGATTAATGTTATTAGCAAAAATCAGGTGTGTTTGTTCTATGCTAATGGTAATTTATGATGCTTTTCTCTCGTTTAGATAAAATAATGTCCAACCTTGTTAGTTTAGTGGTACATTGGTAGTAAGTTTTAGTATGCATCTCATTTTCATTTACTTTCAAATTATACATATACGAAAAGTTTTATGTTTGTCACAGTAGGTGTAGGTTTACAAGTCCTCTAGAGAGTGAGAGCAAAACTTTTGATGCATTCATAATTGTCAAACAATCAACTTAATGTAAAAGGTTGTAAAGTGTATCCTTGCATATTAATTTATGCAATGCAATAGTGCCCATCCTGCTTTTTTTCTAGCGAAGTACACTACACTTTTATTGCTTTTCTATTCTCACACTAATTGCATACACATGTAGGTGTGATACATGTTCTAAGATTACTTTTTTTTTTAAGACTGCCAAACTCCAACTTGCCAAGCAAAGTGTCATTGACCACCCAGAGGAACCAGAGAGACAGGCAGTGGTCATTGACCTGAAGCAAAGGTAAAACTGATATTACTTGATGTTCTTGTTTACATAGTTGGTGAATTGCCAACATGTTTCTTTCTTAATTTAAATTGAGACTAATTTGTCAAAGACCAAATCATGTTGTAGTTGAAATCCCTCTTTTCAGAATTTAGTGATCGACGTATTTACTAGAATTTTATAATTTGAATATTAGCCTAACATATAAAGTTTTTTTTGTTTCAGACTAGGAGATGTAGTGATAAAGATCAATGAATATTTAGAAGAGTTGAGATACCAGATGCAGGAGCTGTAAGTACAGTCTTAACTGCTGTACCTGCCTTCTTTCATAAAATGAAAAAGTTAATGGGCTATAATGCAGTGTTCTCACTTTTTTCATTGTCTTAATAACTCATGTTTGTTTTTAAAAAAGGCTAGATTATTTATCAAGAATATAAAGTGATCATTTTAATAATAATAATAAAAAAAAAATACAAAACTATTTAAACATCATCCTTAAAGAGAATATGATGCATTAAATTCATCATTACACTGTAACCCAAGAAAGCAGAGGATAAATTGTTTTAATTCTCTGTGATGGTAATTAATGAAGTTTGTATCACATTTTCACATGGAATACATTCCATTTACCTTGTATCTAAATCTTGGAAAATAATATTCAATTTTCGATGACATTCGTAAATAAACAAAATAAAAATATTAACTTAGTTTACTAAGATTTGGCTAACTTCTACAGTGAAAGCTATATTTTTGTGCATGTACGTGTATGAAAAGTATTTTAAAAACAAGTTAAAATTATCATCTGTGTATTACTGAACAATAAACTGAAGTATTTAAAATCCAGTTTAAGAGCACTATTCATTGTTTCACTTTTAAGATATTCTTACCTTGAAGTTATTCTGCAGATACTGTTATTAATTACATAAACATTACAGTCAAGACTGTTATTTTGGATTTAACTAATTTGTTACATTTCAAAACTGTGACACTATTCTGCCATTATTAAAGATGATTTTACAAAAGGCTGTCTGTCCTGATTAAAATTAATGGTTATTACACTGTATATTATAAATACTGTATTACAAGTACATTTTCACAAGCAGCAGTAATGTGGAACACATGGACATTTAAAAACTCAATGGGTAATTAAATACCATAATGTAAAACAAAGTTCTAATCTACTGAAAGTGTTATCAAAGTTCGAGAGATGGATAAAGACCTACTATTTTATCAGTAAGGTTTAAATTAAAAAATAACATGCATTCAAAATACTAAATTTATCCAAAAGTTTGTCAAAAAATTGTTTTATTGTCAAACTTTTATGACTACACACTTCTTAACAGAATAACAGGAAAAAAAAAAGTGTCAGATGACTAATGACTTATAGTTTGTCTTTGTTTGAAATGACCATCAGAGAGAGCAACCTTGTACCAACTGATGCGTTCCAACCAATTCACTTACATTCAATAAAGTTTGCTACATAAAATATTGCTCACACATCTTATGGTACTTTTAATTTTCAGACAGGTGAAATCTGTATGTTTGATTTCGGTGATACAAAAACAACATACTTGGATCATTAATGTAACACATGTAGTTAATTTACAGTCTTATTTAAATTTTAATTGAAAGACACATCAACTTATAAGCATATTTCTTTTACAGCTCTGATTTTAGTGTACTTTTACTACCAGATTCCTTTAACCATCAATGTTCTAGACTCCTTCAGCCTTTGAAGGTTCATCAAAATTTTCAACCAGATCTGCAAGAAGAAAAACATACTTTGAATACCTAAAATACTTGAAACAATAATAAAATATGTTAATATAACCTTTACTTTTCACTAATTGCTAAGTGCACATCATAATATGATGCAATTAAAGCAGTTACCCCTTAACTAGGCTCTCATTTCTTGAACCTTTATGCATTTATTCAATTTTATCTTATTTTGGAAGAACTAAAGTATACTTAGTTCATTTTGAAAGTTTAACATGCCCTTATATGAGCACTAGCTACAAGTATGATACTTCATTTCTGTTTAATGTTGAAGTTTACATTATGCACGTAGCATTAGTTATCAAAAAATTTAAATATTATGTAATACACTGAATGTTTTACAAATGACACAGGCTATACATTCAGACTGTAAATGATGACTTTGTCTTCAAATGTTTGAAGCTTATAACCAATGTAAGTTAGGTCAACAGTATTATAAAGTGCTGCCACAGTGTGAGGTGTAGCAGTGGCTTTTCTATATTGCATGATATATACACCTGGAAAAAAGTTAAGCACCCCCGTGTTTTTTTCAAGTGCTTCAGATTCGACGTTCTTGTGACTGATGATAACTCACCATTCAATCTAAACGTGTTTATCAAATGAAATTATGCATTATTGGGCACAAGAAAACAAGATTATCACCGTAAAATAACAATTTTTAATTTACATATCATGACATCAAAATATGGACAGTTTTCACACTTAAAATTATCTTTAATAAGTATTGTCAGTGAAGGCTCAAAAACGTTATTGAATTGTCAAATCACATTACAAAATGTCAATCATGACCCACACATTGATAATTAGTCATCGAAAAGG